ACTCAAAAAGTTATTACGAAATTGGCAAAAGCACTGGGAGCAGGGTGAATAACGGTCGAGGAATTCCTCGACCATGGCTCTCTACTGTGCGAGAGTAGTGTCGAGAGTGAATGTACGCGCGGAGAGCACAGACGGCTCGCGGGTGGCGAGAGTGAATGTCCGCGCGGGAGAGCGTGACTGAAGAAAATCCTCGACGAGCCGTTGTCGTTTTCCTCAACCGATTTTCACCCTCCTGTGGAGCTTAAATGTGCTAGGTGTTTTCGAAAGGAAGTCAAAAAAGATGACACAGAAACTGAATGATGTGCAAAGGGAAAGGAGCGGGACCTCGCTGCTAAAAACCTATCCATCCCTGAGTTACTATGCATAGCGAAACGATAATAAGTGTCCCACAGTGATTGTCCTACACTGAACGATAAAGGCGGGGATTGTGTTGTCATGTGTGGTTCCAGTTGCACTTATTTCGCTTTGTCAACAGGCTTTCTTTGGAAATCTTCCCTACGATGGAGTTCAAGGAGATATTGAACAGATCCTGAGACACATTGGATTCACGAATGACGAAGTGAGTTTGAACTTCCATCTTTATATATCTATCTAAGTTCCAGTTTCTCCTTTTCAGTTGGAACTGGTTGGGGATCAAAGCCTGCGCTGTAGGATTGTGCATAATTCAGGGTGTGGTTCACGAGGATAGAAAGCGACTTTTTCGCGCTTTGCGCGCGAGGCATTTTTTTGCTGCAGGAACCCCAGGGGCGGTATTCAATCCTTCCCCCAGGGGGATATATCCCCCTCCTCTGATTCAATCCTCTGGGGGGACAAAAAAGGGTTGCGTCATAGGACCTAGCATACCTCTGTGTTTCTACCTGCCAGACAGTTAGAGCAGCGCGACCCCTCAGGGAAAAGAGTGCTTCATCAGTGGAGGGTAGTAGCGCTGCTCTAACTGTCTGGCAGGTAGAAACACAGAGGTATGCTAGGTCCTATGACCAGAGTCAACCCTGCGTTGCGCAGTTCGCAACGGCACGTTGAGAGATCCTCAACGCACGCTGTATGGGCGGAGACACAGACGGCTCGAGCATGCGAGTGTGAATGTTCGCGCGAGAGAACGTGTCTAATCGGGCGAAACTGCGCAACGCAGGGTTGACTCTGCCTATGACGCAACCCTTTTTTGTCCCCCCAGAGGATTGAATCAGAGTAGGGGGATATATCCCCCTGGGGGAAGGATTGAATACCGCCCCAGGTCTACTTATAATCCGCGGTAGTCTGAGGTTCCTACAGCGAAAATGTTTCGCGCTGCGAATAGCGCCCCCCCCCCACTTTCTTAGGCTCCTTTCATAGTTTGCGGTCCGTGCGGGGTGAAAACGTCAACACGCGCTCTGGCGCACAATGCGTACTTGGCGCGCAGTCGGCGCCTCCCTCGATCGATAATGCTAATTTCGATACATTTTTTCTGTATTTTGACGTTTTGTGTGCCGTTTTGCTTTTTCTTGCGGTTGTTTAGCCCAAAACTTTTCCTTTTTGTATGGATTACTGCTTTTGCTTACTAATGAACCCACTTGGTGCTTATTGCCACTTTCAAACACAGTGTATGAACCTAACCATTCTAGGACAGTTGAAAAGCAATGATTCACACGAAAAAGAAAAAAGGTTCTCGCCAAAAAAACACGAGCAAAAGCCAGTCGACGCCTTCCAATCGATAAATTCGATTTCATTACATTCTATTTTTGTTTTCAGGTGCTCCTTGTGCCGTGTTGCTTTTGCTCGTGTTTTTTGGCGAGAACCTTTTTTTTTTTTGTGTGAATCATTGCTTTTCAACTGTCCTAGAATGGTTAGGTTCATACACTGTGTTTGAAAGTGGCAATAAGCACCAAGTGGGTTCATTAGTAAGCAAAAGCAGTAATCCATACAAAAAGGAAAAGTTTTGGGCTAAACAACCGCAAGAAAAAGCAAAACGGCACACAAAACGTCAAAATACAGAAAAAATGTATCGAAATTAGCATTATCGATCGAGGGAGGCGCCGACTGCGCGCCAAGTACGCATTGTGCGCCAGAGCGCGTGTTGACGTTTTTCACCCTGTCCGCGCTGTCCGCACGGACCGGACGGACCGCAAACTATGAAAGGAGCCTTAACGATTTGGGGCGCGGCGCGGCGAGCGCGGACGAGTTGGTAGTGCCCGCGAACATGTGCGGGTAGGTTGGAAAACACTCGATCAGCACAGTTCGCGGGCACTATCAACGCCGCGCCCCAAATCGTTAAGAAAGTGGGGGAGCCGTGAGTAGAAAGAAAAGGCTGAGCCTGTTCAAAGCTTGCTCGCTCGATTCGATGATTCAACGTCAGCGATCGGAGTCTGGTGATACCACCAATAAACATTCACAAGGCGAACTGCGGCCAAAAACAGCAGTTAACAAACAAAAACAAGTCAAAAATGACACCACCGACAAGAGGAGCTGCTCCTCTGAAGAATATGTCGGGTTTTTCGTTTATGCGGGCCGGGGTTTCAGATTTTGATACGGTTATACACAATGTTGATTAAGAAGAATACCAACTGTTTTACCAGAAGTGACTCAAATTTTTTTATCACGGATGGTGTAACTTTCTTTCAGATTCATTCGATCCATATTCGCATGGTTCGTGATCGAGAAACAGATAAAT